ATATCGTCTTGGGGCTGTTCAAGGCTCATGGTCATTAACACTTGAAAGCAGCTCTGTATCATCTGGCATCCATATTATTCCTTAAGAGAACCTCATATGAGCCTGTATGGTTAATATGCCTGCCCTTGGACCATTGAATGTTCAGAGGGATAAGGAAGTTTGATTGTCTAGACTGGGTCAAGATAGCAATAGCTATTCTGGTAAGAAGGCCATGTAACTCACTATCATTCCCAATGCAAGGGAGGCTTTTTGCAAAAGGAAAGTATAGAGGCAGAGAAGGGTAACAAAAGTCACTAGGGGTCCCCTTTAGAACCTAGGAAAATGTAGTATTTATTAAAACATATAATAAGAGTAAGAGATTAGAGGAAACCTATCTCTTAAAGACATTCCTTACAACTCCATATGCAAATCACTTTGCAAATCTTAGTATCTAGAATATTATACCACCTGGTCCTAGATGTACTTGGCAGCCTGTCTAAGCATGGAAAAATTATTTTTGACCTCACTAAAATGACTGCTTCTATTCCAGCCAGGGGAGGAACTATTTCCACAAGATAAAAGTGGAAAAGCAATGTATGACACAGTGGATCTCCGTGCCACATGGGAGGTGAGTGCTTGGAGGAAAGAGCACAGAGGAAGCCAGGAGAGGGGGAATCTGGTTTATGTCTTCCACTTATGAGAATGGACTATGCACCTTCAGATTCAGCAAATTTTAAAAGAGCTGATGTGCTGTAGTCATGTGGAAGAAATCATTACTGAAATGTTTACAGAAAGGAACATAGGAGAAGAATTAGGGACAGCGAGGATAGGCAATTCTTTCCTTCAATGTGTAATACTCTCTCACAGTTTTCTAAGAAGACAATAATCCATATCCTTTCTGTCACTACCTTCTTCCCCTGTTTGATTTACTACTTTTTCTCTACTTGATAATCGTGCCAATTGTCTTCATTGTCGTTTCTTGAGAGTTGTTCCTTTTAACAGATTTTTCTTACATTTACTTTTGATCTATAGCCAGTTGTACAAATGGTTCTTCATCCCCCCTTCCTCCCCAGGCTATGGAGAAGTGTAAGGATGCAGGACTGACCAAGTCCATCGGGGTGTCCAACTTTAACCGCAGGCAGCTGGAGAAGATCCTGAACAAACCAGGGCTCAAGTACAAGCCCGTCTGCAACCAGGTGAGCACCTTGGCCTCCTCTCCTTTCTGTTCTTCATCTCTTTCTTCTTGCACTACTGCGAGATCTCTATTTGGCCTCCCCTCATATTCATCCCAAGCTTATAAAAGCAAGGATTCTAGAGTGCAGAGGCTCAGACTATATAGGAATTAATAGAACCCATAATACTATCACTGTTTTGTAAAGTCTTATTTAAAAATGTAGAGAGCCTTTTTTGTAAATTGTGTGTAAGAATTTAGAGAAGGTAATGAAGTTGATGGATGGCTGGAGTCTTTACCCAGACCTTAGAGGGAAAGTGACATTTCCCCGAGCTGAAAAGGATTTCCAGATATTGAATGCATGGAAAGTATTTGGAGGGACTTATATACAGGAGGGAATATCATGAAAATGGTGAATGGGCAGTAAGTAAGAAAAGAGTGAAAATAAGATGAGATAGGTGTTAGGGCTTTGTGTGGGATTTTGATGCCTGAATTCTTAATCTTAGTGTCTCTGCTTTCAGGGGTCTTTGCATAGGAATCACAGACACAAGAAAAATTAACTGGAGACTTTGAAAGTATTTCAGGCTAGAGGGATGGTTTATGGCCACACTAATGGTGGACAAATTCCATATTCAGGAGCATTTAGCAGGAACATAGAGCAGACGTTGTAATTCATTCAATCTTAGTCTGGTTCTCCTCATCAATTTCTATCCTTAAATGGACTGTTTAGACGCATTATTCTCTGTCTGGTTCTGTGCTCTTACTTTTTTTTTTTTTGTTCTATTTTTGTTTTATTATAATAAGAACACATAATATGAGATCTATGCTCTTAAATTTTGAAGCATGCAATACAATACAATACTATATTGTTAACTGTGGTGACAATGTTATACAGCAGATATCTATAACTTAGTCATCTTACATAACTGGGACTTCATGGCTACAATTTGCACCTCCCAATTTCTCCCTTCTCCCAGCCCCTGGCCACCACCATTCTGCTCTCTTATTCAATGAGTGTGACTATCTTAGATTTCTCACATAACTGGTATCGCACAGTACTTGTCCTTCTGTCAATGTCTTATTTCATTTACCTTATGTCCTCAAGGTATAACTTCGAGTCAAGGAATAAGAATCTTCAATTAGAAAATGTGGCTCATAAAATTCAAGACTTTGGCATATAATGTGATTATGAATGTTAAAACAGTCGTGTGATTCTAGCATTAGTTTTACTCTCAATTTTTATTATGAAAATTTTCAGACATGAGAGAAGTTAAGAGTATGATAGAGAACATCCATGTTTTCTCTCCTATATTCAAAAATTTTCACAATTTGTCGTGTTGCCAAATACATGTATATATGTGTGGATATATCTGCATACATGTTTGTAATATTTTGCTTACCCTCTTCAAAGTAAGCGGTAGACATGATAATTCATCCCCACAGAACTCAGAGAGCTTATTGTCTAGTATAAAATCCATATTCAATCCTCCGGATAGTTCTCCCAATCTCTTTTGTAGGTCTCCTTTTCTAATCAGGAGCCAATTGTGGTCCATGTAGTACTCTGACTCATGTTTGTTAAGCTCTTTTAACCTAGAATGGTCACTCAACACTTTTTTTACCATGACATACAGACAGGTTTTTGTCAAGTATTCTGGATTTATCTGATTGTTATCTTGTGATATTAATTAACTTGTTTCTCTAATCCCAGTTTCTGTAAATTAGAAGTTAGATCTAAAGGCCTTATTACATTAAGATTAAATATTTTTGGCAAGAAAATGTCTGTTGCCTGCTGTGTCCCTCAAATTGCACTCCACTAGGAAGCCTGTCATGAAAAGTTGTCCTACTAGGTGGGATATTAGTTTTGTTCTCTTGGTTAAGCTAGTGGTAGCCAGGTCTTCTCTTTGTAAATGTGTATTTTCCTCCTTTAAAATTATATAGCAATCTTTTAAGTGATAATTGTCATCAGAGTAAGTCATATTGCTCCCAAGTTTTCACATAATGGTTGAGTATCCATCAATGATTTTATCCTGAATTAGTTATTTCACTGGGATTTGTAAATAATTATTTTCAATGTTAAACAATGTTTTTAATTTTCTTGCCCCAAATTTTATTGTATAAAGAACATTCCCCCATCAATTCAGGATAAAATACAATTATTCCTGTAAGGCAGGATAAAAGATAAATTCCTTCTCTTTAATTATAAATCTTCCAAGAAAGCAGTTACTTTAATTATCGTCATCAAAGGGAACAGTTATATTGTTCACTCTCTCTCTCTCTCATTACTACGGACTCATGGATTTTTATTAACTCTATGTATAATAGTTGGTTTGGGTCATTATTCCCTTTGATGCTCAAATCTACCCAATGTCACTTGTGGGATCCCATCACACTGATTATTTTGTCCTTCAGACGTCCCTTCATGGATCTGTGAGGAATTTCTTACTTTCTGGCACAATTTGATGTCCAAGGATCAAACAGTTCTCTTCGTGTCCCAGATATGGGATTAGTCACATCTCCTTGTAGTGTACAATGCTGTTTAGTAAACAAGATTCCATCTGCAGAGTCACCTGTTCTCAAGAATGGCATCTTTTTTTCTTTTTTCACCCTGTTACTGAACAGAGAAATATTATTTATTTTTTTTAAATCATTACTTGATATTGTTTCAATTTTAAATTTAATATTACACAATTTACACCAGAGTTTTTTTAATTTTAAACTTTCTGTTTCATTTTAATATTGCCATTTCATAAAATCTGACATGCTTATATCTTGGCATTCCACAGGTGGAATGTCATCCTTATCTCAACCAGAGCAAACTATTGGATTTCTGCAAGTCAAAAGACATTGTCCTAGTTGCCTACAGTGCTTTGGGATCCCAACGTCCAAAACAATGGTAATGAAGACAACAGGGAGATTAATTTTAACACCATTTTTGATGACATATTTTAATCATACCATACTGTTTTCTGGAGTTAACTCTCAACTTGTTTGGGGCAGAGAAGGGAACAATGGAAGAAATCCTTCCCCTTTATCATCCCATCACCCAGCCAATGCTTTTACATTATGTGTGCCTGGTGGTAGGCTAATCAATATCAAATGCCTTCATTAAAATCTATATATAATACAGAAATTGAGACAAGAGACACAAGCTTAAGTCATGATATAGATATTTGTTAACTAATTAACACATTCCTAGTAATAAACTCTCCAATCCACACTTACTTTATGTCTAAAATTAGGATAATAAAAAAAAACTCTCAGGTTTATCATGACAGAAAAAATTATAATCTGAAACACTTTTGTAAACTTCTATAGAAATATTGCACACTATAAGTAAAGATAAAATGAATAGTTCTCATTTTGAGACTACTCAATTTTTTCAATGTCTTAGAAAAGTTAAAATAAAAAATATCCCATTCTTTTCCTTTCTCTGTCATACTGAGAATGGTCATACTTTTGTTCTTACTTTGAGGACTATGATCAGAGAAGACAAACAGCCACTGAGAAGTAGTAAGAAATAATCCGTGATTTGGAAGCATTGGTCTGAAGTCAAGCATGCATGAAAATGACCTGGAGGGCTTTGTAAACTCAGATTATAGATGTCACATCTGAATTTCTGAATCGGTTGGTCTTGGGTGAAGCCATGGAATTTGCCTTCCTAACAAGTTCCCAGATGATAGTGATGCTTCTGGTCCAGGGAACACATTTTGAGAAGCAATGGTCTAGAGTGGACGTACTGAGTCTGTTTGGCAAGCCTCTTAACAAAGTGAATACTGAGTCTCACATCTTCAGCATTTCTGCTTTTCCTTCCAGGGTTGACCAGAACTCCCCGGTTCTCCTGGAAGATCCAGTTCTTTGTGCCGTGGCAAAAAAGTATGAGCGAACTCCAGCACTGATTGCCCTTCGCTACCAGGTACAGCGTGGGGTTGTGGTCCTGGCCAAGAGTTACAATGAGAAGCGGATCAAAGAGAACATGCAGGTGATGAATAAGACTGTGGGCTTGGGGCTCGTAAATGATATCCTTCACGTGTGTTCTTCTTTGTAAGGATCTCAAGACATCTTTGGACCCAGATGAGTTACTTGTTATTTCCCATGCATGTGTGCCTTATGTGTATTCCCATCGGTTTTCTCCTATTGTGGCAACAGGGGAGGAAGCATGGCTGGATGGAATTCAGATTTCACAGAAAACAGAGATTTTAGTTCCAAGATGAAGTCTGCACTGTACTCTGCAGCTCTGTGCCAGTGACATCTCATTTTCTTCTTTCTAAAATGAGGGAATTGGATTATGCAATTTTCTTAGTCCGTTTGGGCTGATATACCAAAATACCACAGACTGGGCATCTGATGAAAAACAGACCTTTATTTCTCACAGTTCTAGTGGCTGGAAGTCTGAGATCAAGGTGCAGTGTGGTCGGGTGAAGACTCTCTTCAGGGTCTCACACTTAATGGTATCTTCACAAGGTAGAAGGGGCAAGGCAGCTCTTTCAGGTCTCATTTACGAAGGCATTAATCTCTTTCAAGAATGCTCCACGGTCATGACCTAATCACCACTCAAGGGCCCCACCATCTAATACCATCACAGTGAGTGTTAGGTTTCCACCAATGATTCTGGACACACGCAAACATCACACTGTAGCGGTGATTTTCAATCTCCAGGTCATTGTGGTATAGTTTGCGTGTTCTTTAATACTAACATGGTTTCATTTTCATCTATTTATTTTCCTTCAGTTTCTTCTTTTGTCAATTGTCTGTTCAAGTCTTTTCCCCTTTTTACTAAACTGTCTCCATTTGTGTGTGTGTGTGTATGTGTCTGTGGTAGACCATTATTCTACCGTTGTTCTACGATTGCATAACAAATTATCCCCATTTAGAGTTTTACTACAAACGACATTTATTTAGCTCATGATTCTGTGCTTTGACAATTAGCCTGGGCTCTACTAAGCAGTTCTATTCCTGGCTGGGCTTTCTCATGTATTTGCTGTTAAATGCAGAGCAACCAGGACGTTCTGCTTTAGGAGGTTGATTTGGCTGTTTTCAGAGTTGGGTAAACTCTGTTTCATATAATTTCTCACATAGTTGTCTAGACTATAGCCAATTAGCCTGTTCTTCATCTCATCGCAGTGGCATGATTCCAAGGCAAGGCGTGGATGCTTGCAAAGGCTTTTCATGTCTAGGCTCAGAATGGACTAAACAATGTAAATTTTATTGTCCAGTGCAAGTTACAGTCCAGGCCAGATTCAACGGGTAGAGGATCTTGAAAGTGTGCTTGTGTCTTCTTATTCAAATTTGGGTCACTAATACACCTGGAATTGATTTTTTAATACAATGCGAAAATGGACCCAAATATGTATATATTTTTTTTTTTTTACTTGGGCTGTGATTTTTATTTCAGCACATCACAAAAATATTAGTTGACAGCTTTGAGTAAATCCCATGCAACAGATACTACAATAAACACTAAATTCAATCGACTTAGTCTTCCCAACCCTTCAAGATTGAAATTATTAGCACACAATAATACTACATGTTTTACAGATGAGAATATTCAAGATTACAGGAGTAAGTCATTTATCCAAGAGTTATGGACATCTGTGTCTTTTTTTTTTTTTTTTTATTGCAGTAACATTGGTTTATAACATTGCAAAAATTTCAGGTGTACATCATTGTACTTCTATTTCTGCATGGACTACATCATGTTCACCACCAAAATACTAATTACAACCCATCACCACACACATGTACCGAATTATCCCTTTCACCCTCCACCCTCCCCCCTTCCCCTCTGGTAACCACCAATCCAATCTCTGTCCCTATGTGTATATTTTTAAATGGAAATCCAAATGTCCATATTTTCCCTCAGATTTTCATTGTTTTCTTTGTCATATATCAAATGTCCTTCAGTCTGTTTCTGGCCTTTCTCTTCTATTCAACTACTTTCTTTTCTGTACTGTCTAATTATAGTGGAAAATAAGTCTTGCTTTTAAGAATGATAAAATATTTTATTCTTTCCTTTTTCCTCTTTAAGAACATCTTAGCTAATGTTGACAAATTTTTCTTTTACGTAAAGTATAAAATCACTTATCTACTTTCCTGAAAAATAACAGTGTTAGTCTTTGGTTCATAGTGCATTAAAACTTTAGATTAATTTGGAGAAAATGGACTTCTTTACAATATTAAGACTTCCAATCCATAATTATAATATGAGTTTTCAATGATGTAGGTGTTCTTTACATATATATTTAATAAATTTCATAACTTTCTCCACAAAGGAATTTACATAATCCTTTTGTTAGATTTACTCATACATAATTGCTAAACTACATATCCTTTTGACAATGTTTACTAACTTTTTATTTTGAAGATTTTCAAATGTTCCAGAAAGTCGAAAGAGTATTGAAAACAAAATTTTCACAATCTAAGTATTCATGGATGAGATACAGAAATCCACCTGTATTCATCAAACTTACTAAATTATATGCTGTATTTTAAAATGTAATTTCTAGATTCTTCTGGATATGCTAAGTACATGACCTCATCTCTTTGAATAAAGTCAGCTTTGTTCCTTCACATTTTTAAAGATCTCCTTTTTGTCTGTAGTCTTCTGCAGTTTCAGTATATTATATCTAGGGATGGAATTCTATTTAATTTTGGCCTTCTATTTATTACCACTTGAGTATTTTGCTTGATGTCTTTCAAAACTTTTAGAATCTTCTAAGACATTTTGAGAATTTCCTCTGCATGATTGAGTAGGATTTTCTTGAATTTACCAGATTGGCAATTATGCAATCTAAAAATCATAAAAATCTTTCTTCTTCTGTGATAGGTTTTTGAATTCCAGTTGACTTCAGAGGACATGAAAGTCCTAGATGGCCTAAACCAAAATCTTCGATATTTTGGTTCCCAAATGTAAGTGACTTTGGGACATATGTATGCCTCGATTCATTTTCTGATGATGAATGTATGATGACTATTAAAATTTATCTCAATACCAGGAAGACGGAGGTCTGTTTGTGTCAGGGATGAGACAGGAGCTTTCTGGAATCTCATCCCAGACTCACTCCAGAGCTTTCTTCATTGACACAATGAGAGAGTGGGTGGACCTAGGACAGCTTGGACTGACACACATAAGTCCTGCACTCATTGCTCCACATAACTTTCCAAGAAGCTTGATATCATTGCTGAATCTACATTATCCATGTAGGCCTCCCATTTCTACAACAATCTAGTAGACATACACTGTAGATAACACCAGTATATCCTAATTCAACGTTTCCAAAACTGTTTTTAATCTTCTTCTCCCAACTTTCTAATTCTTTATCAGATTAAAAGCTTCTCCATCAATCTTGTGTTCCATACTAGAAATTCCCATGACCTCCTACATGGGATCTTCATGAGATCCTGCCAAATTTATGTCCTTCATAAGTTTCCAAATCTATCCCTTCACCTTTTTATTGCATGTTTGTTCATGACCCAGGTACTGCATTTCTCTTCAGAAAGGCTGGCCTTGTGGTACCCATAGGAATTTTTGGTTTTTATTTTGTGAAATATAGAGCTCTCAGTGCAGAAGACAGAGTTTTCAAGAAAAGAGATTTAAGTCAAAAGAAGACTATGGAGGCAAAAGCACCATCATTGGAGAGAATTTTCAGCCAACAAAAGATCTTTACTATTCCTTCACATTCTAAGGTTCTGGAATTATGAGAAAATACTTTCATTATAAATGAGAGAAAGGGAGGAATGCACATTCCTTCTGCCTGTGAGAATTTTAATTCATAATAGTAACACACGTGATGATGTATGGAAAGGGATCACCATAATGGAAAGTTGTGAATATTCAAAAGTTGGTAGATATATTTTTATCCTTTCTAACATATTTATTAATATTGATACAAATGAAGAATAAGATAAAGAAATAATGCAGAGAGAGAGATTGGTAATCAATCAGTAATTCTCCCAATAAATTATATATTTTAATAAGAAGCCATAATTTTTATACCATTTCTATTTTGGGTTATTACTGAATAGAGATCTCCTTACTGTACTGTATGTTCCTTGGAGATGGGATCCAGTGTTTATGTGACATTCTTTCCATTTCTGAATCTAACTGGATACATTGTATGTAGTAGGCCATTAGTAAATAATTAATAAATTAAAAATAATGGAATTAAAATTGCATTCGGTACCCTGTATCACCCTAAAGTATTTCTTAGTGCTGAGCATGTAGTTGGACATGTGCTGTTCAAAATAAGGCAGCATCAGTCTCTTCTTCGATGGAGAATTTGAACTAAGAAAGGACAGGATATCTTGTTGCTTTATTCACAGATGTAGCTAGGGAGAAGAACATATTTGAGTATTTGACTCTGCATCTTTTGTGTATTAAGTTCTAGGAAGGGAATACCATTTGAATAATTTAATTGCTGTCATTACTTTTTGAATTATTATAAATTCATATTTGTTAAAGAAAAATGGGCGGACTCAGCTTTCAGTAAGGAAATAAAATGTTTAACTTGATCTTAATGACCGCTCCATAGAAATCACTTCTCTACCACTCGAAAAACAGAGTCAATGAATCCATATGTGTGTTGTTCTTTCTCTTTTTAGTTTTGCTGACCACCCTGAGTACCCATTTTCTGATGAATATTAACGTGGAGACCTTTGCCCTGACTTCTACCAGAAGCCCTGCATGTGGATAGTGATGCGGGAAATGTCTCAGATGTTGGGGATTTGGCTTCTCAGAGTGGGTCCCATCCATGCTGCTTAGCAACTCGTACTCGGCAAGAGTTAAGTCCATAGGTCAGGAAGGAAAGACACTCTATTTTAATCACTTTCTGTAAAAAGTAAAGATTTTTCCCCCTAAAGTCTCTTACCTACTCCAGTCTATATTTTGTATATTTTCCTTCCTTCTGACTCATTAGAACCAAAAACTGATTTTCCTAGTGTTTGCCATGTGTGTGGGAGGGCGGGGGTTGGAAGGGATACAATAACAACAATTTTATACACATTTCTGGAATGAGATGAGTAGAGTTTTTAGCCTCTAGCGAAGCAGTAGTTGGCAAATATTTATCAGTGTTCCTTTAGCCCTTTGAGGAACAAGAGAACACATTGCATATGGTCTGGAAGGTGAGACACATATTGCAAGGATGACCAGCAATGCATGCACTCCCTTTCAGCCACTTGAGGATCTCTGTTCCAGGAAATCCCAGAATGAGGTTTCCCAGTGGCAGGGCTGGCCCAGGAGGTGGGATGGGAACCAGCCTGGAAGGATGATGAGGATTGAAAAGACAGAAGGTTTAGGAGGAGAGAGTAGAGCACATATCTGTTTGGGAAACTTTGGAAAATGCCTCTATGGGAAACTTTGGAAAATGCTCTCCTGCAGATAAAAAAAGAAAAAAAAAAAAAAAACCTTTAATAGTATTTTACCAAAGGGCCAGAGCTGAGAATCAGGTTGAGACTGCTGTGTGTACCCAGGAAACAGCAATGAGCTTTCTGGGTTGTAGTTGGGCAGGACTTCAAAGAACCAACTGACTGATCAAATCACCCTGAACATTAACTCCATATTTATCCAACTTTCTCAGGTTCAAAAACATATTAATTTGATATACTGTATCCTTTTAAATGTTTCAAATACAAAGCAAGGCATACTTACAAATACAAAACACAAAATATTCCTAAGCCATTACATATTTTCTTTAAAGCCAGTAGAATATGGTGAATACATTTAGTAATTCAAATTCTCCTAAATTTTCAAATACCATTTCAAATATATGCATGCAAAATAACGGAAAGTTTACAATACTTGTTAACTTTTAGGAACATATTTTATAGATATATGCATTTGTTTTCTGTAACTTTTAGGGGTACAAACTCAATCATGTAACTGTAAGGAACAAGAATTTTATCTCAGACCACTTTGTTAAAATTTGGGACAATCATGGACCAAACAGAGACAATCACAGAACTGTGACACTGACAGTTGTTCAGGACCTGGGTACACTTACTAACACCTATACCTGCAAATATTGCTTCCTCTCATTACCACATTCATCTGTCACAACCACGGGGCTTTCTAAAGCCGTGCTCTTCTAGCTGGGACCTAACCAACAAGTTGTGCAATCCAAAGTCTGTCCTAAAATAATTCATCCTTTAAATTAGAGGAGGTCATATATGTTCTCGGATTTTACTTCACATTTGTATGACTGTAGCATAACTTTAAGTTATTGAGACCTAGTGAATAATTATTGGGATTGAATCTTCTCAGTAGGCTGGAACTGTACTCTTTTTATTTTTTATAATGGCTTTTGGACATTTCTTTAGTGAATTTATTATAATTCATCTTAAAGAGTTGGTCCTCTAGGAAGATCACTGTGTATGACAAAGGTAGCAAAGTAACCTCGCTAGCTCTGCTTCAGGAAGGAAAAAGATAAGGAGAAGATGCAAAGGCTCAAGAAACTATGTTGTCTAACTAATTCAGAACTATTCATAAAACAGGGTCAAATTTTAATAATATTGAAGGCTGGCCCCGTGGGTTAGCAGTTAAGTGAGCGTGCTCTGCTACTGGCAGCCCGGGTTTGGATTCCGGGTGTGCACAGACGCACCACTTCTCTGGCCATGCTGAGGCCGCGTCCCACATACAGCAACTAGAAGGATGTGCAACTATGACATACAACTATCCACTGGGGCTTTGGGGAAAAAAAAATGGAGGAGGATTGGCAATAGATGTTAGCTCAGAGCCAGTCTTCCTCAGCAAAAAGAGGAGGATTAGCATGGATGTTAGCTCAGGGCTGATCTTCCTCACAAACAAACAAACAAACAAAATAAATAAATAAATAATATTGAGAAAGCTTGACTTCTGGTTTCTGGTCACATAGATAAAGAACTTGGAAGTCACACTTCCTTCCTCATAAGGAGAAAAATTTGATAGACAGTTGCATACAGATAATCACGACTTACTGGGAGCAGGAGAATAACAAAGTGAGTGGACTGACATTACTCAATTTCAAGGCTTAATAGAAGCTACAGCAATCAAGGCAGTGTGGTAAGTATGAAAGTACAGACAAATCTATCAATGGAACAGAATAGGGACCCCAGAAATAGATCCACACAAATAGTGTTAACTCACCTTTGACAAAAGAACAAAAACAATCCAATAGAGAAAGAATAGTCTTTTCAACAAATGGTGCTGAAACAACTAGACATCCACATGCAAAAAGTGAATCTAGACTCAGACTTTATACCTATCACAAAAGTTAACACAAAATGACTTATGGACCTAAGTGTAAATCGCAAAACTATAAAACTCTATAACAGGTGAAAATCTAGATGATCTTGGACATGGTGATGACTTTTTTACACACAACATCAAATGCCCAATCCATGTAAGAAAAAATTTATTAGACTTTATAAAATAAAAAAAAAAAATCTGCTCCATGAAAGATACTATAAGGTGAATAAAAAGAAAAGCCACATACTGGGAGAAAATATTTGCAAAACATATATCTAATAAAGAGATCATTATCCAAAATATACAGAGAACTTTTAAAACTCTAGAGTAAGAAAACAAAAAATCCAATTTAAAAATGAGCAGAATACTTCACCAAAGAAGATATACAGATGGCAAATAAACATAAGAAAAGTTTATCAATATCATTTGTCATGCTGGAATTGCAAATTTAAAAAAAAGAGAGAGACACAATTACACATGAATTAGAACAGCCAAAATCTAAAACAGTGGCAACACCAAATGCTGGTGAGGATGTGGGGTAACAGGAACTCTGTTTCATTACTGGTCAGAATGCAAAATGGTACAGCCACTTTGGAAGATAGTTTGGCTGTTTCTTACATAATGAAATATATTTTTGAGCTAGCCCTGATGCCTTGGTGG